ACCCCATGCGCAGACGGAATCCCAGGTGTTCTAAGTGACACTCCAACAGGACAGTAGAATAATCCTTATAAGCCACGTACCAAAACACATACAAAAAATTAACCCTTTTCTCCTCTGATCCATACCACAGCCCGTTCGCGCAGTTTGGCCGACCATTTCAGCGAGGTCCACAGTACAGCCCACTCTAAAAAGGGACATAGACCGGAACCACGCGTTCGATAATAATAGAAATCCCCTTCCGTTCCTTTCCTTATTGGAAAAACGATCCCGACGGAAGACTTGAAATTACTTCCAATACCATCAACAAAACTGCCAATAAACCAGCCAGAGCCCGTATGTGAAGGCAACCTCATGCACGCCACGCAAAAGCAACACAATAATACCACCAACAAATATTAGTGGATGCAATCCCTCAGCGTCTACCGCTTACGCAACCGGCAGGACGCCCCGCCAATCACCGAACACACGTACAAATTTTGACTTCTGTAGTGACTCGAAAAGGCATCCCCGTAATTCCGACGGAATGTGTAACAGTCTGCCCCGCCGGCAAATCAGCGACGTAATGACAAACCCAAGTTAATTTAACTATGCGCCGCTCAACGTAGGAACCCTCCAGACGATATGGAACCACGCGCCCTGGTTTCATCCGGGGACCTGCAGCAATTCGGACTTGCAGCGCAGTGCGAGACTTCGACAGTTGCGAACACCTGAACGTCGGGAAGCAGCTCCGAACCCTTGACAATTTAGTCGCATTCCACTCACGACGCACCTGACGGTTGGCTCGGTCATTTGGTTTTATTATAAAACGCCAGTCTGTTGGAAACACACAGAAGTTAGTGATCGATAAACTTTATTTTGGTAAACCTTACACAATGAAAAAAAGCAACACAATAATAACAAAAAAGCACCTGTGTTAAAAGCCTGTCCCACATTTTTTCACTGTCCAGTTCGTCCGAATCAGTTTGGAGGCAATCGAGATGGCAGCTGCACATGTGGTGGGAATCCGTAGGC